CATTCAGCAACAAATTTTGCAATACAAAAAAAAAGGTACTTGAAAATGGTCTTCAAAATGACAATCCAGAAACCTCTAAGAATGCAGGTTTGAAAAAAGGTGGAGCAAGTACAGAGAAGGCTCAGGGAGTTCTGACGGATGTGCAGTCAGTATTTTCAAAGAACTGTGTGTTGATTCATGCCATAAACTAGATGAAGACTTGACTTTCACCACCAAGCAGTATGTCCCTGAGAGTACTTCAGAGTCTTTACTTGGACCTTCATATAAAAAAGAACAAAAAAATGGTAAAAGGAGAAGGGCCTCTTGTAAAACACCCTTCCTTGAAGCCTACCACTGAAATGGAAGAGTCTGTTGTGAAGAAAGCAGTAAAAAGAAAGGGTGTACAAACATCAAGAGCAGAATAAGACTTAGAAGTCACTTCAGAGAAAGAACAAGAAAGGCCTGAAAAAAAAGTGAAAATAAATAGTCACAGGTTGAAGGAGGAAGAAGCACAAAATCAAAAAAAAAAAAAAAAAAACCACAAAAAACAAGTATCAGAAAACCTATATAATAGTACATCTGCTGACCATGATGAATTAATTCAACAATGAAAAGGTGGGAAAACTTACCATCAGCAATTTCCTAGGAAGGAGAAGGAAGAGTATGACAGGCCTGCACAAAAAGTGTCAAGTAAAAAGTGAACATATTTTAGAGATGACCTTGATGACTTAACTTGGCCATCTGAACAATACAAAATTCTCTGAGAGAACTTCTTGTCTCATGGAGTTTACTTTTTAGGGTACTGTATTTAATTTCTGCTTTAGAAAGTTGTTCAGTAACTCACTGTTATCTGTTACCTCAAAAAAAAAAAAAATAGTGTGCCAAAGGACCTAAGCCAAACACAGCATCAAATAAAGGAAATGGAACAAATGCATTAAAATGAGGCAGGCGAGCCAGGCGCAGTGGTTCAAGCCTGTAATCCCAGCACTTTGGGAGGCCGAGGCGGGTGGATCACGAGGTCAAGAGATCGAGACCATCCAGGTCAACATGGTGAAACCCCGGCTCTACCAAAAATACAAAAAATTAGTTGGGCATGGTGGTGCATGCCTGTAATCCCAGCTACTCAGGAGGCTGAGGCAGGAGAATTGCCTGAACCCAGGAGGCGAAGGTTGCGGTGAGCCGAGATTGCGCCATTGCACTCCAGCCTGGGTAACATGAGTGAAACTCCGTCTCAAAAAAAAAAAAAAAAATGAGGCAGGCGAAAAAGCAGTGAGTAAATCCTTTGGAAAGTGGGACTAAGTAGAGCAGTGGATAGCTCAACTACAACATTTCTTATGTTCCTCATAAGAAAGGGGATAATGAACAAACAGTAATTCATATCCAAGGCTACTGTCTTGAGAGTGAAAAAGGTCTTCTGCTAGAAGAGAAAAATAAGGGGGCCGGGCATGGTGGCTCACACCTGAAATCCCAGCACTTTGGGAGGCTGAGGCGGGCAGATCACAAGGTCAAGAGATCAAGACCATCCTGGCCAACATGGTGAAACCCCGTCTCTACTAAAAATACAAGAGTTAGGTGGGCATGGTGGTGCTTGCCTCTAGTCCCAGCTACTAGGGAAGCTGAGGCAGAAGAATCACTTGAATCTAGGAGGCAGAGGTTGCAATGAGCCAAGATCACACCACTGCACTCCATCCTGGCAACAGAGCAAGACTGTCTCAAAAAAAAAAAAAAAAAAAAAAAAAAAGAAAGAAAGAAAGAAAAATAAGGAGTTAATCAATGAATGTAATCATTTAAAAGACTGTTTCAGTATGAAAAACAGAAAGCAGAAGAAGTAAGTATCAAGAAAAATAATTATCTTCAAATTTCCAGAGAGAAAATTTAAATATTTGGTTATGTAGCTACATGTTGAACCTAGCTGAATATAAAAATAAGTAGATGAAAAATATGTTTACCATACTGCATAATTTCATTTACATGAAACACCTGACATAGATAAATGTACAGAGACAGAAAGTAGATGCATATTTGCATAGGGCTGGGGCTGGAAATGGGTAGTGACTGGTAACGGGCATGAGGCATCTTCTTGGAGTGATGGAAATGTTCTAAAGTTGGACAGTAGTGATGGTTGCATGACTCAGTAAATTTACTAATAATCTTTAAACTGTTTGTTAAAACAGATAAATTCTATAGTATGTAAATCATATTTCAACAAAGCTGTTTTAATAATAAAACACTCAAAACCAAAATCAAAACCAAACAAAAAAGAATGTTAAAAGAAATCTCTGACAGGACACAGTGTGCCATCAAAATTATGTGACACGAATTGTAAATTATAACTTTTTTAATTTTATTTTTTCGGAACTAGAGACAATCTGAAGAAAAACAAATTAATGATAATTTTCACACCAGAGCAAACCCAGAAATAAAGAAAATGAGCTAGCCAGGTGTGGTGGCTCATGACTATAATCCCAGCACTTTGGGAGGCAGAGGTGGGTAAACCACCAGAAGTCAGGAGTTCGAGACCAACCTGATCAACATAGTGAAACCCCGTCTCTACTAAAAATATAAAAGAATTGGCCGGGCACAGTCACACGCACCTATAGTCCCAGCTAGGCATCCTGGCACGTGCCTATAGTCCCAGCTACTCGGGAGCTGAGGCACAAGAATGGCTTGAACCCGGACGGTGAAGGTTGTAGTGAGCCAAGACGGCACCACCGCACTCCAGCCTGGGTGACAGAGTGAGACTCTGTCTCAATAAAAACAAAACCAGGGCAGAGCTGGAAGACCCTCTCTCTCACTGTTTGAGAGGCTCCCAGCTCAAGGACCTGGAGGGAAGAGGTCTGGGACTGTCCCGGCGACTCTAAGGTGTCTAGTCCATGGCATATCCTAGGCACCATGGGTGTGATAGGTATACAGCTGATTGTTACCATGGTGATGGCCAGTGTCATACAGATAGATTATACCTCACTATTCTCTTGCTCGATGGCTACTCTGTATTGGCAGTTTAAGGTGGTATCAACATCTATTTTAAAGTAGAAGATGGTGGTGAAAGATCTGTTTGTGTCCCCTTTGGATTTTTTTCTTTGTCAAAGCAATGGCAGTGTTGATTGTAACAGTTTGTAACAGTGTTGATTGATAATTATCTGGAATTTGGACTTGAAACAGGGTTTACAAATTTTTCAGAGAGTGCAGTGTAGTTTCTTGAAAAGCAAGGTTTAGAATTGCAGAGTCCTGTTTCAAAACTTACTTTCAAATTTTTCCTGGCTATTTTCCGTTCACTCATTGGGACTTTTTTGACATTTCCGGGATTATGGCTGGCTCAAATGCATCTGGATGCCCTGAATTTGGCAACAGAAAAAATTACACAAACATTACTTCGTATCAACTTTCTGGCACCTTTATTTATGGTTCTGCTCTGGGTAAAACCAATCACCAAAGACTACATTATGAACCCACCATTGGGTAAAGAAAGTATCCCTTTAATGACAGAAGCCACATTCGATACTCTGTGACTCTGGTTAATAATCCTGCTGTGTGCTTTGCGGTTGGCCATGATGTGTAGTCACCTGCAAGCTTATTTAAATTTAGCCCAAAAATGTGTGGATCAGATGAAGAAAGAAGCAGGGCGAATAAGTACAGTTGAGCTACAGAAAATGGTGGCTCAAGTCTCTTATTACCTTTGTGTCATTGCACTGCAGTATGTGGCGCCTCTGGTAATGCTGCTTCACACAACTCTGCTTTTGAAAACACGAGGCAATCATTCCTGGGGTATTTATCCAGAATCTATCTCTACCTTACTAGTGGATAATAGTCTACTCTCCAATTCTGTTTACTCTGAATTACCATCAGCTGAAGGGAAGATGAAAGTAACTGTTACACAAATAACGGTGGCATTGAGCAGCTTAAAAAATATTTTTACTCCTCTTCTTTTTCGAGGACTTCTGTCTTTTCTGACTGGTGGATTGCTGCTTGCCTCTTTTCTACAAGCCTTTTTGGGCTTTTCTATCACCAGTATCTGACTGTGGCATGCATCTTAGTTAACAAAAAAGCATATCCTAATCACACTTCAAATTCAAATATTTGTGCCCTTAAAGGGCTGATGAAAACCAGAAGAAAGCAAATACAAAGGAAAAAATATATATATCAGAATATTTTGTATTAAATGTTTCCTCTGTATTCTCAGGGTGAATCAACGTTATAATATTTAAAATTACAAAATATATTGTTAACTGTTACACTGTGGCATTGGAATTTTAACTCTGTATGTACTGGTATGAGAGGGCTATCTACAAGGGTAGTACTTCTGATTACCTTGGTTTACGGAAACCTCCAGCCATCTTTGAAACATCTCACGTGACTCCATATTGATTGCTTTTAATGGTATTATGGTACTATTGATAGTCATAGTGGCTGCCTATAGAACAATCTTCAAACTGAGCCATGCTTTAGCGGAGGGAAAGGGGCTAGAGTCTCTTCTGTTTATTAGGTACTCTTGAAATGATAAAATCCAACAGAAAGGAAGAGATAGCCACTGTATATTACAGTAAAGAAAGCTGCACAGTTATTTTAAATTTGATGGAGATGAATATGCTTAATAGCTACAACTGCCGTCGCTTGAGAGTGGCAAGAGCCTTGTTTTAAAACATATTCTACCCAACCTGAGAGGTCTTTTAAAATGATTGGCCGTATGAAAACTTGTATCTTGCCTTTAGGTTTGGACATGCCATGTTTTATTTTATTCTATCATCCTAAATGGTTCCTTTTAATAGTCTAAAAATATTTATCAATACTGATCAGACTGAAGAAATTACTTTGTAAACCTGTTGACTACCTGTATGTATTGTGTGTGTATATATATATATATTAAATATATAATATATTGAGATTATAAAAGATGAAAATATTGAATCCTTATAATGTCTTAAGTTGCAGAATGTATGTTAAAAAGTTATTTGAATGAGTATTTGTATCTAGAAATTTTATTTCTTTTTGGAATGATATTAAAATACATTTTGAAAGTTCAAAAACAAAACAAAACAAAAAGAACCTGAGCCATTAAGAAACTGGAGGTCCAGCATTTCCTCTCATCCTTTTGTCTGGCCATCAGCTTTTGGGTTCTCATTAATGGAAGTTTTCTATGAGTTGTTTCTCTGGGTCCAACTCAATGATCTCATATTCCTTTGAAAATGAGACATACCCTCAAAAGCTCATTGCTGGGTTAGACATTGTTTTTTTAACTGCAGAGAGAACAAGAATAAGGGAAATTGATTCAAAAATCATAAGCAACTGTTTCACTCAGAAATTCTAGGCCAGCCAGGTGTAGTGGCCCACGACTGTAGTCCCAGCTACCTGGGAAGCTGAGGCAGGAGAATCACTTGAACCTGGGAGGCGGATGTTGCAGTAAGCCAAGATCGCACCACTGCACTCCATCCTGGGCGACAGAGTGAGACGTCTCAAAAAAAAAAAAAAAAAGAGAGAGAAAACAAAGTTTTAGTGTTTGAACTGTGCTGCTGTACTGTTTTCACCTTTCTGCAAGTCAGCTAGAATCCTGTATATTGCTGAGAAGATAAAATCAAAATTGAGTAACAATAGGTTCAGCAATTTTTAAAAATACCCTCAAATCAAATGTTGTGGAAAAACAGATGAACTTTAGGGAAATAATTTTAAGGTGAGCAAGGTACACTTCTCTTCCAGTACATTTTAATTTTAAAAGGATTTTTTAAAGTTCTTATTACACGTATGAGGAACAATGCCCTTGGCAGATTGTTGCAAAACACTTATCCCTTGATTACGTTTTGTCCTGTTATCTCCACATAGACATTTCAGTCTCACTGCAAGTCACCTTACCATTTTACTCATGAGTTACAACAAAATGAAAACAAAAAAGATGCAAATTAAATTCACCTGCAAAATAAGAGATTACCAAAATAATTAAATTACGTGTGAAAAGGTTATACTAAATACTTTCTGTTGTTGTTTTCTTTTTCTTTTTTTTTTTTTTTTTTTTGGGACCGAGTTTATTTTTTTTCCAAGGCTGGAGTGCAATGGCGAAATCTTGGCTCCACCTCCCGGTTTTAAGCGATTCTCCCGCCTCAGACTCCCGACTAGCTGGGATTACAGGCATGCCTACCACGCCCAGCTAATTTTGTATTTTCAGTAGAGACAGGGTTTCTCCATGTTGGTCAGGCTGGTCTCGAACTCCCGACCGAAGGTGATCCGCCCGCCTCAACCTCCTAAAGTGCTGGGATTAAAGGCGAGAGCCCCCGTGTCCGGCCACTTCTATAGATTTCCTACTCAAACCCATTTCTAAGTTACAGGCTATCTGGGCTAGGAGCTGCATGTGTCCCAGGTGAGAATCAAATGAAGCCTTAATAACTGCCACTTTTGATCAGTAACTGATTCGACCTTTTACCTTCGTTGGCGGAGAGCTGTGGCTCCACTTGGTTGTGGAGAGGTTTCCCAAAGCCACAGGGCGTCACGATAACTCAATAGGGGATGAATAATTCACCGGCAGAGGTGCTCTCCCTGACCCTCGAGCTTCCTGCCTGGAATCCAGAGCTGCGTGGGTCACGCGCTGGAAAGAAAATGTCACAGTCTGGATCAGTGCGGTCGCGAGACAGGAGACGCCAGGTCCAGCCCCAAAGCGGGATGAGGCCTGGCAGCCCCGCCCTGGCAGCAAGGCCAAGCCCAACTGTGGCTCCGACGCGGGTCCCGGGCCGAGGCTTCCCTCTTCTCACCTGAACCAGGTCAGGTGGAGCCCGAGCACTCAGGCCTCGGTTTCCGAACCAGAGACCGCTTTAGCCAGCCTGCGGCTGCCTTTACAGTAGCTGCGGCTTCCAACTTCCCTCCCGAGGTTTGTGCGCCCCCGCTGGAAATCCTGCGTTGGGTAGCCAGACTCGCCGTTTACGCGCAAACCGAAACAGCTAACGGCTGGCGCCCGGCGCCTCGCAACCGCTGGCCCAGAAGGGAGCGCGCATGCCTGCTGAAGGACCCCGGCCCGCCGCGCCCCGCCCCGCCCCACCCCACCCTGCTACGGTGTGGCTAAGGCCCCTGCCGCGCGCGCGCGGGTGTGACCCGCGTCCACAGAGTTAGTGACGTGCGGGGGACCGCAAGTACCTTCAGCCGTCCTCCCTTCACACGCACGTGGACACACCGTCACCTCCTCAAGCCTTAGGGTGCCGAGTCTAAAGCTCAGGGCTGCCCCAAGCCCCTCTCCCGGGGGCGCTCTGCCTGGCTCCATCTCACTTCAGGGCCCCAGTCCCCACTGATCCAGGCCTGTCTTCGGGAGCGCAGTCGTTGGCACCAATGAAGAGCAGTACAGGGAAAGGACGGTTCCAGGGCATGGGAGAGGCCCCTGATCTCTAGGATATTCTGGCGTCAAAAGAAAGGATATGAAGTAAGATAACAGATTGTCTAAGCCGCTGTGTTCTGGGAACAGGATCAGAATTGGGCAAAACACAGCGCAGCTGGCAGACTGAAAATTAGTTCAAAACCGTATTAGGGCCGGGCGCGGTGGCTCAAGCCTGTAATCCCAGCACTTTGGGAGGCCGAGGCGGGTGGATCGCGAGGTCAAGAGATCGAGACCATCCTGGTCAACACGGTGAAACCCCGTCTCTACTAAAACTACAAAAAATTAGCTGGGCATGGTGGCGCGTGTCTGTAATCTCAGCTACTCAGGAGGCTGAGGCAGGAGAACTGCCTGAACCCAGGAGGCGGAGGTTGCGGTGAGCCGAGATCGCGCCATTGCACTCCAGCCTGGGTAACAAGAGCGAAACTCCGTCTCAAAAAAAAAAAAAAAAAAAAAAAAACCCTATTAGACAAGCTGAGCATTCCTTCAGTATGTTTACCGCAGCAGAAACGTGCACAGCACTGCACACCGCACGCGAGCTTGGGCCCAGCTTCAGGATGTTCCATGACCCGGGTGGAAACCAGCGGGTTAGAGAAAAGCGCAGTCGTCTCCCGTTAACCCACTTTAGCCCTCATTCCCTCCTTTCACAACTCCCCTCTTCTCCCCCCACCCCCTCCCTAAAGGTCAGAGAAGACCCTGGATCAGGCGGACGGGAGGGCTGTGGGACGGCGCGCTCCCTCCTGCGGGCCCAGCGAGCTGGGGAGAACCCGCGAGAGGCGCAGACTGCGCTGAAGCCCAGCGGGAGCGGCGCCGGGGGCGCGTTCCCAGCAGCAGAGCCCGGGGGCTAGGTCGCAGTCCTGCGCGGCTCCGTGCTGGGGAGAAACTCAGGTCACCTCAGCTCCCCCAGAGTCCAGGGCTGGCGGATGGCGCCCCCTCCGTAACTGCGGCACGACCCGCACAACTACCCGGCCGCGCTCCGTCCCCTCCCCCAGCAAAAGCCAACAGCACCCACTGGTCGCCTGCGGGTTGCGAGGGCGGCTTTGACCGCTGTGCGGCGAATCCGGCGTGGGGACGAGGCCTCTCTCTGCGAGGAATCTGAAGAGGTCCAGGATTGGGACAGGGGGACAGGTGGGAGGGTCGCCCAGGGGCTCAGGCCTCCTTTCCCTGCCTCCCCGCTGTCCCCGCGCCCAGGCAGGCCCGCGGGTGGAGCGCAGCTGTCTGTCTGGGAGAGCACCAGGGCCTTGGCCTAGCTTTCCAAATTCAGTCCGGAGACGCCCCAAGTCTCGAGGCCACTGCCTCGCACCGTTCCCTGCCCATGATGACCCTCACGCCAGTCCCCCCAGCTTCGCCAACGCCCACCGGCCCCTCAGTGAGAATATGAAGGGCCGTACAGAAAAGCGAAGTCGTCATTCCCTCCCTTCTCAAGTCCCCTCTCCTCTCCCTTACTCCCTGCCCAAAAGTCAGAGAAGACCCTTGATCGGGGTCTGCTGTGGGGCACGCACAGCAAGGACCAGGAGGACCTAGGCCTCTTTGGCAGCGACACTGAGGGCGAACCCCTAGAAGGCAGAGATTGATCCGGGGAACATCCATCTCCAAAAGCCCAACAAGCACGATGGCGATTAGAACACATGCTCCCCGCCGCACCCCCACACCTCGCCAGGCCTCTCTAATCTCAGCCGGGGTCCAGGTGGACTTGGCACCCGGAGCTGTGCCTGGGAGCGCGCAGCGCTGCGGGCCCGGACCTGGTCTCTGCGGAGCGCCCCTGACCACCGCGACGGGCGGCTGCCATGTGGAGGTCCAGGAAGGCAAGGTCTCGGGCGAACAAGGTCCCCTCCGTCCAGCCGGAGCCCTCGCCGGCGTGGCACAGGCGGGGGCTGGGGGCCCTGCGCGCCGGAGTAGCCCGCGGGTAGCCGGGAAGGCAAAGCGGTGGGCGGGCCCTGCGGGCTCTAGGCTGCGGTAGGCGGTCACCAGATGGACTTGCCTGAGCGGCTCACCCTGCACCTCTCCGCTGCAGCCCCAGGGCTAACTGGGGCCTGCAGCCGGGCTCTGGGACCTCCTTGGCCAGGCCCAAGGGCAAGCCTTGGGGCTTGAGCAAGTTAGCGGCTGCCAGCAGGGAGCCCTCGTTCTGGGTGAGGGTGGCAGAGGCGCATGTCCCTCTGCCCTGTCCCCGTCGCCCTCTTCGCTATGGTGGCCATCGTGCCTGTTGGTCTTGTGGAGGTGGATGCTCTCCAGGTCAATTTCTGCCTTCTCGGGGTTGCCCTCAGTGTCGCTGTGGAAGAGGCCTCCTGGTCCTTGCTGTGTGCACCCCACATCACTGTGTTCTCCTTGAGAAGCTGGTGAGCATTGGTGAAGCTGGTGGGGACTGGCATGAGGGTCATCTTGGTGATGGTGACCAGCATTCTTTCCTTGCCCCTGGTGGGGCAGGGGTTCTTGTGGTGCCCCTTGACCCAGGCCTTGAGAGTGCCTGTGCTCTCACAGGTGGCATTCTTCGGTCACCCAGAGATCCTCTTACTCGAACTGGCCATAGGGACAATGTGCCGGGGCAGTGTGGGCCAAGAAGGTGACAGGGTGCACCCAGGGTTGCCCTTGAGTTCATCCTGCTAGCTGAACCTCTTCAGCCACAGGGCAGAGCCAGAGAGGAGAGAGGGGAGGGAGGTGGGGAGAGAGAGAAAGAGACAGAGAGAGAAAGAGAGGGAAGGGGAGATGAGTACCCGAAGTAGAGAAAGTCAGGAGCCCCCCCCCCCCACCCTATGGACTAGAGGGCCTCCCTGGTGCTTTTCAGGGCCCTGTTCTGCTTCCCACCCACCCCAGTCCATCGCTGTGTGAAGGGGACTCAACCACCAGCCGACTCCAAGAACTGCCCTCTCCCTGACCATGGAGATTTTTTTTTTTTTTTCACTCTAGAAAAGTTCCAGAAACCGCATCTCTCTAGAAAAGCACGCAGGAGCTCTGGTCCCTATGTGCTCCCTAGGCTACCCCTGGTCCCCACCAACAACAGCTCAAGAAACCCATCTTTCCAAGTTTATCTTACTTATATTAGGAGACGAGAAAAAGCTTTCAACTAGGGCGATGAAGCTTTCAAGCCACCCACCCACCCCTGTGATCCTACCTGTGCTGTCCTCTGCAGCAGTGCCCTTAGCCAGCCCCTTCCCTTTGGCCAGGCTGCTAGTACTGCTGTCCTTCTCCTCAATTCCTGCCTTGTGTCCCAGAGGGTCTTCAAGCTAAGACTCCAAGGAAGGAAGAGTGCTACTATCCAGGGAGGTGGGGTGCTCCAGCCTGCTGGCTTTCTGCTGCATCAGGCTTCAGGGTAGCGGCTTCATAGAGGAGGCACCTGGTGTACAGCAGATGGGCGGAACAGGAGAGGGCAGAGGGGGATTCCAAAGCTTGACTGGCCTGGCAGTGTCCTGGCCTGCTGTGGCTGAGTAATGTGGGACTGCACACATAGAGACATATCCTGCCCAGTGTGCAAGTGTCAACATGGGCGTGCACACACCCAAGAGCATCAGGTCACAGCAAAACCCAACATCTACCCAGACAGGAATAAGACAGCTATAGTATGAAGAGGGCAGAGAGGGGCTCCCCATTCAGGCTGGGGCTCTCAACAGTGACGGGAATGCCACTGGCATTTTGAGAAAGAGTTATTTGTGGTTTGGGCAATTTAACATGGCCAACTCTAAGCAGGAAACACCAGCGGCACCAACACCCAGTGTCCCACCTGCCCACCCCTGGCCTCACAGCCACACGGCAGATTTCTGCATGCTCCTTCGGGGAACAATAGGGCCTCAGCCTGTTTTGCTGCTCCCTAGTTTGCTTCCAACATAGATCTCTGCATTCAGGAGGCTGACCACAGGGTGAGTGGGAGATGGGAAAGGGTCTCCAGTGAGTGTGGCTTCTTCACTTTCCAGAACTTCTCTCTTCAAGGATCCAGCCCCAGAACAACCCAGGGTGCCCAGGCTCTCTGGCAGGGCAGCCTGCCCCAGCCACAGCCTCACAGGGCTGCTCCTCACCTGTGCTCCACCAAGCCATTCACTACCTCTTGGCACAGGCAGCAGAGCCTCTGCAAGTGGGCATGGGGGAAGCTGGCACAGCACCTGGGCACTGGGCATGGGCAGGAAGCTGTGGTCGGGGGAAGGTGCACAGCAGGTGGAGGATGTAGTTGTGCCTTTCTTGCCAGTGACATCCGCCGAGAAGCAGAGCTCCACCTCCTCATCCCCATCATTGAACACCCAGTGCTTCAGAATCTTGAGGGCCAACTTGAGTGTCCCAGCAGCTGCAGGTACAGTGGCTATGATGCCACCATCTTGCCTCAGTCTGTGGAATCATAGATGAAGTTCTGCTTCTGGTTCCGCTCCAAGGGCTGGGTCACTGTCAGGCTGCCTTGCCTGTGACATCTCTCTCTCTGTAAGGTCGGGTGTGTTTGGGGAGGGGTTGGGAAAGGGGCTCTGCCTAGGCCTGGCCTTTCTTCCTCTGGTCATTGTGTGAGGACCAGAACCCTGCATGGAGCTGTGTAGAGGCACAGGCTCCTTGGGTCCCTAGGCCTGGAGGGGCAGGGATGGAGGGAGAGCCTGGCTCCTCTCACCCTGGTGAGGGTAGATGCTGGGGCCATCCTGACTGGGCCCTGGCAACATGGCAGA